AAATAATAATTAAGGAAACTTATTAAAAAATAAAAATTAATAAAATAATAAATCAAACCATTCAAACTTACTAATTAAACTTAAAAAAATAATAAAAGCTATTTAAAAAAATCTATTTAAAATTGATTGCTATTATTTTAAATATTTTTTATATTGTTATATTAGTGCATTAAATATTCACTATAAAATGGCCCTAAGAATTGAAATAATATTTTCAACAAATGATTTTAGTTTATATCAATTTATTGCTGTTTCTCTCTCTAAATTTCATTATAAGCGAATCTAATTATGAGTAAAACTAATAAAAATACTGAGAAATCTTTAGGTACTCACTGCAATTGTTGCTATTATTATCGTAACCGTTATGCAGTACCAAGTTAATAATAACAATAATGTCACACCCTGCCAAGTAACGGTGCATGCTAATTTCAAGTGCTTCCCATCCGGTAAAATATGCAAATTCGCCAGCCTCGACTATCGGAAGCGCTGCCCAAAGTGTTGACCAAGCTGAGTTGAGCGGCGGCTTTAAAAAAAAAAAATAAAAATAAACATATTTGTAAAGCAACAAAAATGAATTAAAACTTCCGCTGGCACACGCTGAACTGAGCCCGGCCAAACGGCACTAGACCAATGCAGCCAACGCGTCGGAGAAGGCGGCCAAAAGCCAATTGAGGGCGTCGCAGCAGCGGAGGTGGGCAATTGTGGGGGCTTTGACTTTTTGTGGCTGGCTCGTTGGGCTGGCTGGCTGGCTGGCTGGCTGGCTGTTTCGCTATAGACATAGACATGACTTGGGTCTTGTTGTCCCCCACGTTGATAAGCCTTGTGGCAGACATTCAAGAAACACTCTCGTAGTGTTGGACATGCTGGCTGCCGGCCCAACTGGTTATCCCATGATCTTCTGACATTTTTCGGCGGTTGTGGCACACATTGAAATGCAGTTCGTATACTAATTTATGCGGGCCAGAGTGGCCCCAAATGTTTGTTTGAATGATGCATTTAATTTGCTGTAGCTGTAGTTTGTTCACAGACGACAACAAAAATGTGTTGCCTAATATGGGAACCTTAGCTATGTTGGGCCATTAACAGGCAATACACGCAGTTCGATGGAGCGCCAGTTAGTAGTACGGAGGAATTTTCAATCAGGTGCATAATTTGCTTGGAAATATATTCTGGGTTTCTTTCAACTTTGACATACAACAGCTGTTTACAATTTTATTTTATTTACATTTCGAAGTATTTCAAATGAAATGCTACTGCTCTGTACTACTTTTATCATTTTCATATATGCCACACTTTGATAAGTCAAAAACAATTTACCAATATTGTTCAAGGTTTCATTGTATCAAATTTAATTAGGGGGCTACATAAAAACAAAAGTCCAACTGCTACACTGGGACTTGATATGCTGCCAGCTATGCTCGAAGCACGCGAAAGTAATAAACACTTGGGCTTTACGCTTTAGTTCCATTTTTTAACTGACCCACATGGGATATACTTACGTATGTCTGCCTGTTTATATACAAAAGCATTACACACAAACAGTTCTTATTTGAATTCACAACGTTAGGGCCCTCACACTGCTCCGATTGAATAAAACATGGATGTGTGTGTGTTTTTTGCCATCTCCTTCAATCGTATTTTGCGATTTTTTTATTGAGAAGCAACAAAAAAAAGAGTATAAAAATAAATAAAAAACAATTGTTAGCATCAAACTTTATATACATACAAACAACATAACCAAATATATATGCAAATGCTGCACAGCAGAGCGAAAATACACTAAGACATATGCATATTTATTGTATGTATGCGCGATTATATGAAAAATTGTTTCAATGTCGAATTGATTTCATATATCGAATATGACAGACGTAGTGTGCAGCAATATATCTAGGGCAAATGAAAAATTTCTTATATACAAATGTCAATTTGTATGTATGTATGTGTGTATTAAGTAAGTGAAATAAGGCTTAAAGGAAAGTCTAGAATAACTTTATATTAATCGTTGAGTTTGCCTAGAAAGAGTTGGACATAGCAGCAAAAAATTTTATATATAATATTATTATATTATATTTTATGCTATTTTATTTTATCTTTTGTAAGTTCACACCTTTAATTATATTATTTAAATATTCCGCTTAAGTGCAACTGTAAACTTCGATAATGCGACACAGTGTCACGTACCAAGCGACTTATAAGTGGCGATAATCAAACTTTACACAGGCAATAAGACTGATAAAAAGTAAAAACCGTAAATAAATACAGTTACTGCGGTACATACAATATATGCATATACTTTTACCTACATACATGTGAATATATAGTAAGTAGCACAAGCCGCTTCATACAATGTGGGCGTTATGAATGAAATGGAAAATGCTGATTATGCTGGATGGTGTTGGTGGTGCGGTGGTGCATACCCCAAATGGGCTGTAAAATACAGCAACGAAAGGCAATTAAAATTGAAGCTGCCTGGGGTCATATTCACACAAACACATACACACACACACACACACATCCATATAACATGCCAGGCTTTACGGAATTGTCATTATAAACTCATGCCGCACAAAGTCGCTGATGCGTTCAGGGGCCTTGCCGTAAGAGCTATGAAAACATGGCTGATGCAAAATTTACGTACTTTCATAAATACACAGAAACGTATACTAAAAAAAAAAAAAAAAAAGGTGCTCGTTACGACTGACTGACTGACTAATTTATAATAAACCCTTAAAGCTTTTAAACTAGAAAGCTAGCATTTGCACATTTCTATGTTTATTTTCGATAAGAAGGTTGAATAAGTTTTATACTGAACATGGAGCATGGTCTGGTGAGAGTTCTCTTTCTTATTGAAACAGAATATGTTAAAGCAAGTCATATTTTGAAGCTCTCGATATATTCCCTATGGAAATTGCAGGTGCGTTTTCTTTTACAGGCAAATATTTGCAAAAGAAAAAAAAAAAAATGCAATGAAAATGCTGGTAAAAACTGTGTGAAAAGACCCTCCATAGGAATGACTGGCATCTTATATGATAGTAAATAGTTCGATAGTAATTTTAAGTTGCAAGAGATTCGACGTTACATGCTGAACAGGAATATAATATATATGTATGTATATATTACAGAAGTATTCTTCATGTATACAAGAATGTTATTAAATTAGGTATAAACAATAGTATGACTATACTATACTATACTTTGTTTTTAAACTTACAAAGCATTGATAAGAAGTCTTAAATAGCCGAGAAACTGTTTGCAATAGTTTTATTACAGTTATCATACATATGTATATATTTCGCAATATTCCCATGAGTTAAATACTGCCTAAGGAAAAGTTAATTAACATTCAGTTAATATTTTCCTGCTGCTTGTTATCTCTGCATTGTTGAATAAAAACATCGTTACAGTTTCACGGTTAATTGATATATAAATCAGTAAGCAAGAATTATTGTTTTCATTTTTGCATACAAATAATTGAAGTTGACTTGGGTTCAATTGAATAGTGAGGGATTGACAGACTGATGTCATTGCCATCAATACATTTGCGATTATTTCGATTTGCGGCTTTGTCACACTCCATTGTGTTCGAGCCAAGCACACACACACACACACATATACACAGCTCGGTTCACACCCAGAACGCCCACATGGCATCTGCTGACAATGATTGTTTTTCTGTTTGTAAGTTTTTTTTTTTATTGCTTTCAATTAAAAACCCATAAATCGGCATTTTTTGTCGTATCAGTCCAATAGTCAAAAGCTTATGAAAATAATAATTTTCGGTCGTGAATAAAAGTTGAACCGTAAATCAATAACATTTCATTTACTTACTGAGAAAAAGTCAATGTGGCAAAAGACACAAATGACAAATTGTTTATAATAAATATTCGTCTAGAAAAAATATATAAATATTATATATAGAACTAAACATTTTTCTTGATATCCATTTCATATTCATCACATTGATAAACGCTCATTTATTGTCTATATTTATTACAATAAATATTATAGAGCTAAAAAAAAAACTAACGAATTTTATAAATAAATAATTAAAAGGGTTTTTATAGCATTTTTGATAATGGTTATATCTTTTTTATGTTTAAATATATTCCTTGCCATAATACTTTATTTTATTATAAGATTTATATATATAGGATTTGTATACTTTAATGCAGTGGCCCTTAAGCATTCAATTATTACTTGGTATGCAACAAAATTTGTAATTTGTGTAAACAAACTTTGAAACAATATTCCGCCACATTTTGTTTATTGTTGAGAGCCCGCCTGTGGCATGTGCCGTTTGCCTCTGGGTCAACAACAACAACCACACACACGCCGAGAGAGACACAGCCATAACAAATATTTATACTTGCTACGCACATATGAGCATTTATACAAATGTTTATACGATGTGCTCGAGTGTATATGTGTGTCACGCACAGCGACAAGAAAACTCGCAAAGGTGAAGGAACTCTGGAATGAAGCGCTCTCTTACTGATAATCGACGCCCATTCAGCACTATCAGTCATATAACCTAAACATACATATAAAGACTAGAAGCTACGCACGGGTTCGAGCCATTCGTTTCGGTTCGTTAATTATTCGGTAATAATGTCAACAAAATTGAAATTGAAATTGAAACTGAAACTGACATTACGGGTCTGACGCTATGCCCGGAAAAATACATACATAAATAGCAGCAGCGGAAATAGTTTTCTTTTATGACAAACATTTACCTTATTTAGCAATATATTTAATTAAGTATAAGTGATAATTTGTGAATTCTATAATGCAAAAGATTCAGTTTTTTATATAAAACAGACGAGCAGAATCTAGAAGCGAAAGACATTTTCTGAACGTTCCATAGAACTGCTGTTACAGCCTCACTAAATATTTTGTAGAATTGAATTCAAGTATTTTTTTCTTTTAAAGTAAATTGAGTTTGATACCCAAAAACTTTTCATTTAATCAAATATTCAGCATTGTGTAGAATCGAATTTTAATGTACTTTCTAAAAAACTAAATTGAGTTTGATACAAAAAAACTTTTTATTTAATCATAATATTACATATATACCAAGCATTATTTAACTGAGTTTTAAACTACAATTAGTGAAACATTCATTTTGAGAACAATGCATTAAAGTACAGCAAACAAAAATTTAGTTAATGCTATCATTTGAATTAAAAAAGTTTTGTTTTGCTTTTCCAACGGACAGCAAAATTTCCGCTTGAGGAGAGATGCGAACTCGCCCCAAAAGCCATGTTGTATTCATGGCACGAACTTTGTGCTCTATATACTATTTTTAGCCTGTGATGCCAGATAAAAAAAAAAAAAAAAAATGAGCTGCAGGATTTGGCTTACATAAGGAATGCTGTTTGGTTCCTCATTGTGGTCCAGGCATTGAAGGCCATTTTGGGAATGAGCCATATTAACGCGCATCTGCTTCATATGACAATATATTGCCAAAGAGTTTCTGTAGTTCGATATCTTCATAATATGAACAATAAGATAACTTGGCATATAATTAAAAATTTATTCTTTACTCACTGTCGTTCATTGTCTAGCAACTCGACACTTAAAGCGGTGTCAACATATCTCTGGCTGCACATCATTATGATTGAAATCACATTTCTGCCTTTCCAATGTGCAGCTGAGATAATCATGAAATTGAATGTGTGTGGCCTGCTGCTAGACATTCCAATCGACATCACGGAGGCCACTGTAGATGCCATCGTCAATTCGTTCGGTGTTTTGCTAACCAATCTCATGCTGTCAATTGCGAATGCAGTAACAGTTCCTGGAACAATCAAGATGAAGCATACGATTCCTAGCGGAATATTTGTTTATGCTCACTATTGGAATCATGGCAATGCGTCAATCAAAATAATTAGCCGTATCCGTATGGTAAAAAGGTATTTTTTTAATACTTCTTTTACTCCATATGAATACGAATTTACGAGATTTTGCATTCTTTTATAAGTTATTATTAAATACAAATCTATTAAAATCTATATCATTTATGTGTTTCATTCACCTCTTCCATATCCATTTATTTTTCTAAAATTAAAATTTAGAATTATGTAATAAAGTAGTAGAAAAAGTCATTAGAAATTTTGTGGAATTCCCTTAAATACCATTCCTTATGAACGCCACTTAATTTTCATGAGCAACTAATTATATTTTATTATATTATATTTTGTTGAACAGCTAAAAGAATAAATTAAACCGTTTATTTTTATTTCAATAACTATCTCTTCACTTTTCAACTAGCCCAAGGTTTAGCCAGCTGGCCAACTTTAACTGAAAGAGTTTTTGGCTAAAAAAAGGCAAACCAAAAAACAACTAGAAAAACCAACATGAGAGAACTAAACTAAAAAAATTAAAAGAAAACATAAAAATTGAAAAACTGAGATAGAAATTCAAAAATATTTCCTAGTAAACAAAAAGTGCCACTGCAACACTAAATTGCAGTGCCAACTGTAAATGCAACTGCAACTGCAGAAAATTAGTATAATTGATGCTGCTGCTTTGCTTTGCTTTGCTTTGGGTTCGGTGAGGTTCTATAGTCTGCGAGTCATCAGTTTTCTTTCAGATGACTCGGCAGTTGGTCATGGCTTAGTAAATTGTAAATTGCATTTAATTAGCCTGACTGGTCCTTGGTGATGTCTCGAGCTCTATAAATGCAAATAATGAAATTTAGTTTAATTAACAAACGGCACGCAAAATGTGTCCCATACACAATTCGACAGAAGGTAAATTCACAAAGTGAAACCATTGAAGAGCAGTCATAGAAATAGTTTGGCTACACATTCAGCCCCGCAAATGGAGTGGACTGCATAGACGGACCATAGCAAAGGCTCCTCCTGGCTGCCCACAGTTAATGGGTCAAATGCAACAATTTGCCCGGGCAAGCTCGTCGCCTTCAATGGCCTTTCGCATTGCAACGCAATTATCGATCAATAAACGTGTGTGATTTTAGAGTGTGTATCGATTAGTTGTGGGCGTGTTCATCAGCTCCTCAGCAATATTTCAAGTCGGCAATTAGTTCGCCGAGCTGTTGGCATCATCATTTATATGGCCATTAAGCTGCGTATAATTCGAGTGACGTGCCATGACCTGACGTTGAGCTACGACTATTAATAGCCGAGACTTTTCCATCGACACTACGCTGCACGCTCCACATACCACAGCGGCATAATCCCTCCGACCTTGAGTGGTGAATGCAGCTGCAAAACCAGCTTCGTGATGATTGCGATAGCGCGATTTCATTTTTAATGAGCTTACACACTTTTCGATACAAATTGTCAATGCAATCAAATATTACTCATAGAAATATAAATTAAATTAAAATAAAAATGTATATAAAAATAAAATATAAATTTAATCAGTTGAAGTCGCAGATTGAAGAATTTAGAGTGGAATATAATATACAAACATAATCCCAAGTTTTGACAGTACTTTGAGTTACTCTTGTCATGGGTAGGACTAGTGTATCACTCACCCATTCGCTAGAGCTGATGCCCAAACAGTTTACTGTAGTTGAACTGCTTAGTAAGACAATCGTATCGCTGTTTGATGTTTTTCACTCTGCCCTTGTAAAGACAAGGCATCAAATCCCATTTTTTTGTTTGTTTTGTGTAGGAGTTTCAGGGCAACATCTCCACATCAAGAGTCGACAGGGCGACAAGCCTCAGCCAGCAGGTTCAGGTCCATCAGTTGCAAAGCCAGCCTGTCGCACTCGATTGCCAGCGCGTTGCTTGACGTCAGAATGGCAAGGAATGGCCCGGCACATATGAAGCGAATTGAACTGGCACCGCGCTGCGCATGAGCCTGGTTCGCTGATGGTGTGAAATGACAGCACCATAATAGCCGTTTCACCCTGGACGTAGATTGATAGGTGCCTTGAAGCTCGTGTTCAGGTGTTGATTGCAAAAGCCTGCCAGACTGCATAACTTTTGATGCAGTGTGAAGGAGATGCGCACGATGTGCAATCCATGGGCCAAGGGCCTTAAAAATAAGACTGAAATTCTTTACATTTTAATAATTTTAATTTAACTCAAAGTGTGTCATATATGACGATTTATAATTTTATAATAATATTTAAATTATATTATATTATGAATTTAATTATATATATTTATCCGAAAAATATATAAATTAGTTACATATATTTATATGTATTTATAATAAATACATTTATAAAAATAATATAATATAATAGATAAGTTAAAGAAAATAAAAATAAATAAATACAGATAAATATATAAAAATAATTTAATTAATTTACTTTTTGATTGCATATTTATATTTAAGAAAGATTTGGCATTAAAAAAAATTTTTTTTTGTGTTTTTGTAGATTACCAGTTTTAAGAACTGAATCCTAAAACCTAGTCTAATTACGGACTCTTAAAAATGACTATGTCTGAGAATAGCTACAGAGACAAATGTTTTCCACATTAAAATATGAAATCATACTTTTAGTATTTAAAAAAAATGTATTTCAATATTTATATATAACATATGTTATATATTTATATATATTTTCTCACAGTTTTTGATAAAAGAAGGTTTATAAAGCTCAATGTAATATCAGCTGAAGAGTTTGAGCCACAGATGTTTGAATATAACTATCTGCTCAACAGTTAGTTAATGTTTTTAATTGAAAAGTTAATCTAAATGGGATAAATACTCACCCGATAGTTATTGATAGCTGCACCAATATATTTTGTCTCTATATATTTATGGGCAATAGTCTAAGCTATCTTGAGTGCCCACCGAGAGGTGAAGCTAAACTGAGCTGTCGTCAGTCGACGCTTTTAGCCTACTTGCACTCGTTTCGTGGGTGGAATGCACATGACCAAGTTGCGAATTTGTTTCTGGCTGAATGCGGTTTCACACAAAACTGACAAATGGCGCAGAGGGTTGAGGAAGCGTTTGGTCCGGTTGAGCTGTGAGACGGCTTTACTAATTGATTTTGAGCCAGTTGGCACGTTTTTGGTGCCGTTCATTAGCGGAGCCAGCTCCAGTCAACGCCAGTCAAGAGCTGGGCTTGGCCTGACAATAAGTCTAGAAAAAACAGACTCGGCGGGCCAACAACTTGAAACGTTGGCACCTTCAACGAAAAAAAGAGAGAGAGAGAGACAGCAATAAAAAGACAACAATTTCTGAGGCTAGCCATGCGCCAAGATGGCCTACAATGTGCCATTAAAGGTGGCCAATGCGGCCAGAGGTCTGCCATGAGAGAGCTAAACGAATCTTTGCAGACTCTTTAACTAATGTTTCGTTCTCCCTCCTTTCCATTTGCAGATGAACGACAGCACATACAGAAGAAAACTTTTACGAAATGGATCAATTCACATCTAAGCAACACCCAGTGCACACCAGTTAATGACTTGTTCCTGGACCTGAGAGATGGCCATCGCCTGCTGGCCTTGCTCAGCACCCTGACACAAACTCAGCTGGTAAGTGCTAAAAAATACCCTGTGACTGGAGAAAGTTTTGCTGGGATACCTTTTTTATACCCTGAACCCATTGAAGCGCAGCCCAAGCGCAGTCGCTGCTTACTGCGCAGTTAGCAGAGCGCGTTCCAAATCGTGCGTGTGTATGTATCTGTGCCGAAAAGAAGTGCAGAGTGATTAGAATATCAGATTAGAGGGTTCAGGGTATCTCCTAGTCGAGCAGTCTCGACTAGAGTCTTCTTACGTGTTTTTGTATACCCTGAATATATTAAAAATGGAGGAGGCAGAGCCTGTCCTGTCCGTCCGCCTGTCTGAGCTGAAGAATGAAGAAACCATTAAAATATGAAGAACCGAACATAGTTCACTGGATCTTCTAATCGTTCACTCCGATTATTAATTTATTTAGAGTTTCGACTTTGTTGTCTTTTCTACTATGATAGATTTTATTGATATATCCAACAGTCTGTTAAATAAATAATGTTATGCTTGTGACTCTTGCAGAAACCCGAAAAGGGACGCATGCGCGTGCATCACATCAACAACCTGAACAAAGTGCTGCAGGTGATCCAGCAGCACGGGGTCAAGTTGGTGAACATCTCCAGCGACGACATCGTGGGTGGCAATCCGAAGCTGACGCTGGGCCTCATCTGGCTGATAGCGCTCGAGTTCAATGGCCAGCATCTAGTCAAGAGCCATTCAAGCAATGGCGTTGAGAAGTCCCTGCTGGCCTGGGCGCGGCAGTACACAGAGCCGCACGGCTTGGCGCTGAATGATTTCGCCAGCTCTTGGGCAGATGGGCGCGCCTTTCTCATGATACTCGCCGCCCACCTGGATGAGCTGGACCTGGAGCGGGCGCTGGCGCAGCATGCACTGCAGCGACTGCATCTGGCCTTCGACCTGGCGCACCGGCACTTCAAGATCGAGAAGCTGCTGGATGCGGAAGATGTGCACACACACAAGCCGGACAACAAGTCCATACAGATGTACGTGATGTGCCTGTATCATGCCATGGAATCGATGCGAGCCATCGAGCGCGACCGAGTGCCCTGCACAAGCATCACAGACCTGGACGAGGTGCCGCTCGACCACGAGCGGGAGCTCTACACCTCGGACAGCGCGACCAGCATGGAGCTGAAGTCGCCGGCCGAGGAGAGCTCGGTGCGGCCGCTGAGCACGGCGACCAATGTGAGCGTTGAGATCAGCAGCTATCAGGCGGCCTTGGAGGCGGTGCTGACGCTGCTGTTGGAGGATGAGCAGCTGCTCTCTCAAGATCTGCCCGAACCAGAGAACTTTCAGGCGGCCAAGCTGCAGTTTCACGAGAACGAGAGCTTCATGCTGAAGCTAACCGAACATCAGGAGTTTGTGGGCGAGGCGCTCGAGGAGGGCAGCAATCTAATCAATGAATCGCAGAAAAAGGATGGCTCCAGCCTCTCGCAGGTGGATCAGAATGAGGTGCGTCAACAGATGGTGCTGCTGAACGAGCGCTGGGAGACGCTGCGTCTGCGCGCCCTCGACATGCAGGCCAAGATTCTGATGCGGCTGGCAGAGTTCCAGAAACAAAAGCTGGAGCAGCTGCGTCAGTTCCTCACTAATGTCGAGGATCGCATCTCGCATATGAGTGACCTGGGGCCGACCTTGGCCGAGGCCGAGCAACAGCTGACGGAGGCACGCCAGCTGAAGGCGGATCTGTCCGAGCAGCAGGAGCTAGTGGATAGCATTAGCAGCATGGTGGTCATTGTCAACGATACCTCTGGCAATTTCAACGATCTGGAGGATCGACTGAGCGCGCTGGGCGAGCGCTGGTCCCACGTAGTCAAGTGGATAGATTTGCGCACCGAGAAGCTGCAGCAATACAAATGCATCTCGCGCTGGCTGGATGCGCGCGAACAGGACCTCAAGCGCATGGAAAGCCGCGATGTCACCGACGTGGGCGGCATCACACAGCGCATCAACGAGCTGAACTACTGTGCCAAGGATCTGCTCGAGCTGCAGCGCTATCTGATCGATCTGCGGCAAATGGTGGCCGCCACGCTGCAGGATGGCGATGACAAGGGCGAGCGCGTACTCATGCAGCTGGAGAGCTACGAGGATCGCCTGGATGCACTCAAGCAGATCCTGGAGGTGCAAACGCAGCGCATCGAGTCGAAGGGCTTCAACTTTGGACGTGAGCGGGCCAGCTTCGATGATAGTCGAGTGCTGCGACCAGAGGGCTGGGTGGACTACCAAATGATTATACGATTCGGCGAGGGCGAGGGCGAGGAGGAGGACGAAGATGAACCTGAGCAGAAGCAGTCAAAGCAGCAGCAGCAGTCTCAGCAGGAGTTGCAGCAGGAGTTGCAGCAGGAGTTGCAGAATCCCGATCAGCTGGCCAGCAAAAAGCGCAAATTGCGCAATTCGGACAACTTTTTCGAGCTGGAAACTCAAATCTTGCAGCACTTTACCCACGTGCAGGAGGTGGAGCAACAGCTGCAGCAGCTACAGCGCCAGAGTCTACGTAATCAGTGCGAGTTGCTCAAGGAGCTGCAGGCCGAGAGCCAGCAGCGTGCCAGCTCCCTGCCCGAGCTCAAGAAGCTGTACGAGGTGTGCGAGCAGGAGGAGCCAGCGCGCAAGCTGCAGCTGGAGGCAGCCCAAATCCAGCAGCTGGAGCAGCGCCATGCAGCGCTGGCCCAGCGTCTGGCCAGCCAGCAGAGCGAGACCAGCAGCCTGCTGGCCAAGGAGCGCTACTACAATAGCCTGACGGGCTTCAAGCTGGTCCTGGCCGACTCGCGGGACTGGTACAAGCAGCACGCGGGCTCGGCCAGCTGCCAGGAGCTAGAGCAGCGACTTAGCCACATGGACTCGCTGTCCACCGAGATAGCTGAGGCGCGCGAAGCCACCGAGGCACTGGACGACCAGCATCTCGAGTGGAAGCAGGACTTTGGCATCTTCTACGACAGCTGGCACGACATGAAGCAGGCGCTGCAGGCGCTCATAGAGCAGCGTGGCGGGGAAAGCATTGCCCGGCAGCTGCAGCAGCTGGAGGCTTTCGTTGGCAAGGTGGCCGCCCAGAAGGTGCGCGTTTCCAATCTGGAGGCCATGCAGCAACAGCAGCAGCTGCTCAATCAGCTGGTCGACGAACTGGAGTCACTGAAGTCGACCTACGAGTCGGTGCCCGCCCACATGATCAGCGAGGAGCTGCAGGCCGCCTGGCAACGGCTGCCGGAGCAGCTGAACGAGCGGGTGATCAAGCAAACCACCGCCATAGAGAACTTCAACCACTTTGTGGCCGAGTACAATTCCATAATTGCCGTGCTGCGCAGCGCTCCACAGGTGCTGCAGGCGCAGGATCTGCGCAAGCTGGAGATCGATGTGATCAGTGCACGCAATTTCAGTGAGATTCTGATCAAGGAGGCGGAGCCGGCACAGCGCGAGTCTCTGCAAGCGCATATACGTACGCTAAATGCCCTGTACGATCAGGTGGAGCAACTGCATCAGGCACAGCGGCAACAGCAGTCGGCACTGGAGTCCCAGAGCCATGCGATACAAGCGCGACTACAGCAGACAGAGCGCTGGCTCAACGAGCTGGAGGCGAACACGCCCAAGTCCGGCATTGCCGAGATACGCAATTCCAACGAGCTCTTCCAGAGCAAGTCCAAGTTCCAGACTCTCAAGGAGACGTGCGAGCGCGAGGCCACGCAGTTCCGGGAGCTGAATGAGCTGGGCGGCGAGCTGCTGCTCCAAATGGACGAGCTGCAGAACAAGGAGAAGGACTCCAAGTACGGCTCGCTGGCCAAGCAGTTCACCCACCTCAATGCCCGCTGGACGGAGGTGACGGAGCGGGTCTACACCAAGACTGCGCTGCTGGAGCACATCTCCACGCAGCTGGGAGAGTTCAAGAAGTTTATGGTCAGCGAGACGGGCTACCTGGATCGGCTGGAGAACAAGATACGCAACACGCCCGAGAATGCGGCGGATGCCGAGGAAATCATAGAAGAGTTGGATGTGAGTTGGTTTACCTAAAATATGATGAAGATGTTCATGGAATTCTCTTTTATAGGATCTGGAGAACGTGCTGCGCTCCCATTCCGACGAGTGGCTGGACAAGATTCAAGAAATTGGCAACGAGCTAATTGACAATGAATTTATGGCCGATGCCATGCGTAAGGACATCGATGGCATTGTCGAGCGCTGGACACAGCTGCAGCAGCAGGCCAAGAAGCGCACCGAACTGCTGGAGGAGAAGGCCAGCGAGGCGGAGCAGTCCGAGAAGGCAATTGTGCATCTGGAGAGCTGGCTGACGCGCATGGATGAGATACTCAGCGATCATCTGGAAAACGATGTGACCATTGAGGATCTGCCCGATGACTTCCAGGTAAGACACCAGATATCCCCAGTCAGACAATTTAATCCACGCTATATAAATCCATAGATTCTGGCACGTGAATTCGCCATAAATGAGCAGAATTTCAAGGTTATAAGCACGCTGATTGCAGAGCACACAGCCAATGGCAAAACGGGCGCCGCCAATCGGCTGCAGGAGCAGCTCAACTTGATGGAGACGCGCTTCAAGGTCTGCCAGGCCAAGCTCAACAAGTGCACAGCGCCACAGGCCGCCTACGAGTCGCGCCTGAATCGCCGCTACGGGGATCTACGCAACGTGGAGCACTCCACGCTGGTGCTGGACGTGGCCTCGGCGGGACCCAGCACGGTGCAGGCGCAGTATCAGAAATGCCTGGTAAGCTAGGTAGAAGTCCAATTGCCCAATGAACTGATTTAATATTCCAACTTATTCCTTAGCAAATCTATCGCACACTGTCTGAAATCAAGTCGGATATTGAGAGCACCATCAAGATGGGCCGGCGCGTGTGTGAGGATAAATATACAAGGAGTCCCAAGCAGTTGAGTCAGCGCATCGATGCACTGAAGCATTTGTACAATTCGCTCGGCGAGAATGTCACCCAGTCGAAGGCCTTCCTCGAGGACCTCATCAAGCTGGCCAGCCAGCTGGAGGACTGCTTCGATGCGGCCGATGAGCTGATCAGGCGCTTCGAGTCGCCCCAGGAGGTGCACGACCGCAACTCCATACTGCTCAAGTTCGAGGATGTGCTGCAGCGCTGCGAGCAGCACTACAACGAGTACAGCAAGTCGTGCGACAAGAGCTGCATGCAGGACACACGGCAGCGCATCGATGGCCTCAAGGCCACCTACCACAGGCTGACCAGTGCGGACATCATCAAGCGGCTCACCGAAATGAAGGCAACGCTGCAGAACTTGGACAACATTTCGATGGAGACACTCAAGTGGGTGGCTTTTAATTTAATTATTTATCAGAGTAGAGCAGAGGAGGTTAGAGGAGAGCTGAGCAGGTCAGAGCACTCATTAAGTCGAGTGCTTGGCCAGAGCTGAGCTGATATAGGAGCAGCTCTCTGATTTGTCATTGAATAATTAGTTAGAGTGTGTGGGTTGCCGTTTGAGTTGCCCATGTATTTATTTTTACTAACGGACAATTTAAAGGTTTAAAAAGGAAATATTTAATTTATAAATTATATTTATAAAAGGTCTGATTTTTAAAGATTCAAAATTTAATTACAACATATATTTTCAGTTAGCTAGGCCTACGGTTTGTTTTCATGTATCGATATATTGTAGCTTCAATGCTTCCCTTCCAGACTTCTGCTTCTGCTCAAAACTGTTATAGAATCCTATATTATATGCTTGTCTTTTTACTTTATAGCTTGCTCAAATATGATATACTTTGTCTTCATATACGAAGATGCTTATATCAAAATACTTTCTATTATCGAATCGTCGTAGTTTGTTTCTCCTTTAAATCCAAAATCTCAGGAATTCGTAAAATTTTCCATACATTTCAATTCAGAATATGTTCCATGCAAACAAAAGATTATTTCTTATAGATTTAAATTTTGTCTTGAAACCCCTTACAATTTCAAAAAATCAACTGTCCATTATTTTCAACTATATGTAAATTTTGTAATCAGCTATCATTTTGTATATGTTTATTATAAATTAGGTTTCCAAGTTAGGGTAGATCTAAAAAAATCAAATGAATGTCAAATAATAGATTATTAGCTGAGGTGGTAATATAAGTTGATATATTTCCATCAACAATCCTATCACTTCTACTCCAAACAAAAGTAATTTCATTGATTTTTATTATTACATTTGCAGAACCATGGAACATGATCTGAAGGAGATAAATGTGCCATCGAATCCGGAAATTGAAAAGCTGCAGCAGCAGGTCATTGCAATAGTTGTGGTGCGTAGAAAACGAATGCCAATTTAAGATGTTCGAGCTATCCGCACTAATTACCGAAATGCTCTCAAGATAGAGATCTGTATATAATTACACTAGGCTAATGGTTGTTGTTGTCTGTTTGAATGTGCTTTCGAGCTACTTTCTGTGTATTCACTAACGATTTGGAAATTCGTTTTTGTTTTCATTGCATTTCATTTTATTTCATTTCATACACACTGCATCATGTTGTGTGGTTGATGGTTTTTCCTTTTCATTTTATCACCTTTGGTGTTTTTATATATTTTTCTTTTTTTATATGCAACATGCACTCACACACACACACACACACACACACACACACACACACACACACACACACACACACACACACACACACACACACACACACACACCTATGCATGTGCTGCTTGCGCCAACTGCGCTTTCAATATGCACTCTGAAATAGAATCGAATTTCTCATCTTTGATCACATTCGCATTCGTATTCCATTTGATTTCGTATTGAATCTTATTCAATTGAAACTTTAGGCTTTACATACAAAAAAGAGAAAGCTTTAAATTAAGTTGCAAACTAATCTTAAGTTAAGATCTTATATATAATTGATTTAATCATTGTAATGCTCTAACTAAGCGGTGCTTTGCCATATACTTATATCATTGTATCATTGTACTATGTACCCCGGTACATTATTATTATTTATTTTGTTTAAATACATTATTTTTTATTTGCCACTTCACATACCACACCCATTCAATAATAATAATAATAATCATAATAACAATAATAATAATAAAAAGGACAAGTATAAAAGTCAATACATTCGCAATAATCTTTCCACCAAGCTAATCAAGAACCAGATTTAAATTTACCAACAACCATCACCCAATACAACCACCACCACTACATACCAGAATCACCGTATCACTAGCTCTACGAGGTCTAACTTGGTGTCATTTTCACGCTTCAAATTTCCAATTGTGTACATTATATACGTATATATACATATTTGTATGTATGTGTATATATCTTTGTTTTGCGTTATTTGGATTACTTGTTACTGTCCCTCCTCCACCCTGTCCATCCACAAAGTAAAAAAAACATTTCAAAGGCGTTCAACTGTGGTTATAGTCCAATCAACACATCCCAACAAGAACAACATACTCGTATGTCCATGGCTATCTGCTACTCTTCTCACCAACGCTTCTGTACAGCAACTGCTTTTGTGGGGCCACTCATAACATAGCCCCGCCCCCCGCCTCCCGCCACATGGGTCGCGACTAAGGCTTCACATGACCATAATACTTTAAGGCGCTGCGAGTGCTTTGCTTGAGTAGAGCTTTATTAAATTCTGTGAAAATATGCATCCTTCGCACAGGATACACTGAGAACGCGCTTCGACGAGACATCAACGCTGGCTGCCCCAGCCGATGACGATACGGAAATTGTGGTTGTCAGCGATACAGTGCGTCAAAGACGCGCACGTACACCGCAGGCCGGTGAAGGCGGCACGCCCAACACAAGTCTCAACGAGTCACCGCAGTCAGCGACAGCGGACGCCCAGCCGAGCTCGAACAGTGGTGAACAGGTGCTGCCTGATTTGCTTCCACCTCAAACGTTTCGTTTGGCTGAATCCAGCACACTCTTCTCGCAGATATCGTTGAATCCGAACAAGGCGATGGACTCGCCTCAGCCGAAGCCGGCGAAAAACAAACGCAAAGCGCCGGCAGCGCCCGCTCAGGTGGTTGAGATAAAGGTGAAAAACATTCAGAATGACAAAATGTCGGTGCAGAATATTGCGCTGGAGCCGCACCAGGGTGAGATTGTGGACACGGTAAACATTTTAGAGAGCGTGGAGCCGCTGCTGCCGGAGTTTGTGCAGACCGTGCAAATAGTGGATTTGTCCGAGGACTCGGATTCCTCGCTGCGAGTCGATGGAAATGGCAAGGAGATGCGACGCAGCAAAAGCAAGCATTCGCTATGTGAATCGCCGGGGGCCAAGGCAGCAGAAGGCACAGACGCAGATCCGGATGCGAATGCGGATGCGGATGCAAATGCGGATGCCGATGCGGAAGCAATGCTGCGTCCTGCTGCGGGCAACACCAGCACCCCGCTGCTGCGCGTGGCGAAGCAACGAATATCCTTCGATGAGAAACGCAAACGCATTGCCCATGAGCGTGACATACTACGCGACTCCGAGGAGGAGGAGGCGCCACAAAGTGTGGCAGCGCCCACTGGCAGCGCCACAGCAAGTGAACAGCGACCGAAAGCCAAACGCTGGCGTCAGCTGCAACCAGAAATGGAAGCTCTGACACCGGACACCGAGCCCGAGTCGCCCATTCGCAATAGTTTCTATAGCGCCGACAAGGAGACAGGTTTTGATATTGAGCCGTTGGTATTCTCCGACGATGAAGAAATACCGCGCTTCTCGCTGGAAATGACACCAACCTTCGACTCCGATAGTGATACGGTAATTTGGTAGAGCTTGGATCATCGATTCTATTTATTTTCGCCCCACCTTGTTTTCTATGTCTATCTTTTCTTATCGATCAACGCAGAGCCGCATTGAGACGCCCTCCACGAAGAAGCCGAACTCGTTCCTGAGCAAGGTGCTCCACTCAATGCCGTCGCCCCTAGACGACTCGAATGTAACGCTCAAGAGTCCGCCCACTGAACAGCCCGCAAGCGGTCCCGCCAACTTGGCCCAACGCGTTGAGGATTTCAATAAGAGGGCCAAGCAGATGATCTGTCAGCTGGAGATGACCAAGACCAAAATCGAACAGAGTCCCGAGAGCGAGGCGTAAGTTTGAATTGAGTTGATGAATAAAGAGGATACTCATTTTATTTTCGATTATTTTGTAGCGAGGATCTCCGCATGCTCATAGCACCAGATGCGGCCACTCTGATCTCACAAGGCGATTCCTTGGTACTGGAGACGCATGGCAAACATGGCAGCATCTCGCGCCCAGTCATGGGCACGCAGACCTTACTCAGAGAAAAGTTCCGTGAGGTTCAGCAGGCCAAGTAAATAGTGATTTTTTAAGAATTCTTTTCATTTACTAAGAGTTTGTCTTTGCCAACAATTTTAGGCCTAAAGCAACCGGCAAGTCCAGCACTGAGTCCAGCAAAGAGCTTGAGAAACGCATGGAGGACATCAATGTAAGTGTGACCAAGCTAATTTTACGCTGGCTTCTATCCAACAGTCGAAACATGTGGTCAAAGAATGACGCCTAATTGCGCGTGGCTAAAGTGACTTGAATTAAAATACCCTGCAGCTTGACTAGCCTAAGCAGGTCGTGATTTAGAAAAGCAAAGTCATCATATCTAATTTGTCTAGCTTTGTCTCTATAGACACATAGATACTTGGATAGACAGATAGATACATAGATACATAGATACATAGATACATGGATACATGGATACATGGATACATAGATACATAGATACATAGATACATAGATACATAGATACATAGATACATGGATACATAGATACATAGATACATAGATACATAGATACATAGATACATAGATACATAGATACATAGATACATAGATACATAGATAGATAGATACATATATACATAGATACATGGATACATGGATACATAGATACATAGATAGATAGATAGATAGATACATAGATAGATAGATACATAGATACATAGATACATAGATAGATACATATATACATGGATACATGGATACATAGATACATAGATAGATAGATACATATATACATAGATACAGGGATACTTAGATACATAGATACATAGATACATAGATACATAGATACATAGATACATAGATACATAGATACATAGATACATAGATACATAGATACTTAGATACATAGATATATAGATATATAGATACATAGATAGATCATCAAGATTATTTTTAATTAATTATATACAGCTTATAGACTTTCACAGGGTAATTTCTGGCACATGCAAAACATGTGAAATGTTCGTTTGTCTTTATTATCGCCGTGCGCAATATACGTATATGTTATGTATTTCTATATTTTGCATTATTTGCGTACTAATTTAGACATCTTTGAAGGCGTCTGCGTTTATTTTCGCTCTTGCGCCAACCACAAGTTAATTGGCCTCTTGAGAATTCAGAGCAACGGCACAGGCCGCCAAACAAAACTAAATGCTGCCATTAGAAATACCCCAAAATAAATCGAAAATTTTGACATAGTTACACACGGTCAGCTCGAGACATCGCGTCGTGCGCTCCGACATTAACAACATTAACAAAAACAATAACAACAACTGTAACATTTATATATTTATGTGGCAGCAATTCGTATTGGGGAAACAGTTCAGAGCGCATTTGAAGAGCGAACTTAAGAGATTTCTTTTGGCAGCATGCACAAGTGTTGATCGACATATGGATTGTTTAATTTGTGTAGTGTCATGTTTAATACAATAAGGAAATTTGTCATAAAATTTAGAAAACAAATTTTGTATAAATATTTGGGTCAATTTCAAAAACAATTTATGAAACTGTGCGAAAAAATGGTTCTCAACTTTATAGTTTTGACACAAAAGCATAGGTAAAACTATAGATTTTTTTCAAGTTAACTTGAGCAAGACATCTATTAAATTATTCTGCATTATAAAATATTTTTTCCATATTAAATATGGCAATAAATATATCTTGAAATAGTAGATCAATATATAATGTAGAGCTAATATAATTGGGACTCTTCAAGAGCACAAGTTAATTTTATACATACTTCAAACTTTCACCAAACAACAAAAAAAATGCAAAAAATTTAAAAATATTTTTTATAATTTAGATTGCTTTAAGATAGTCTATCAATCGAGTAGCTGATTAAATTAAAACAAAGTTGCGTTATTTGTTCTTAAATAATTTCCTACAATTTCACTTCTCCTCTAGTTTTAATTGGTTTTAAAGTTTTCGTTTCATTCATTTGACAAATGGTCTTATTTCCTGTCACTATGTGAAATAATAAACATAAAAAAAGTCTCCCCAATTCGACAATGTCGATCCCAAAACAATGACACGGCCTAAAATCCACCATTAATCAATTCGTGCATGGTTTGTTTATTTTCGTTGTGCTTCTGTTTTTTTTTTTTTTGCTCGCTGGCCCCAAATGACAAAGAAACAAATAAAAGAAAATAGAGATGGAAAACTGAAAACAGAAAAGTGGGAAACCTATATTTAAAAATAGCATTTCGAAGAGCGCAACTGTGTGGCAAACTGAAGAGAATTTTCTTGATTCAAACTAAAATTTGCTCCCTTTGCTGGCGGCGTTGATGTTTTGTTGTTTTTGTGTTTTCAGTCTGCACACGGCTAAAACACGCAACGGTCGTACCGCTCAAAATTCATTTCGTAATTAATTTGATCGAAGCGCTTCGAGGAAGTTCGCTTGGCGCCAAAATTGTTTGCACCGCGCGCTCAAATGCAATTTTGCTGGTTGACCCAGTCCGTCAGTGCGGTATACGAAGAGACCCCGCCGAGAAATACACTCCCACAGTCACAGCCACAGCCACACACATTGCATCGAGGAAACACTTGCATGTAGTATTCGTGCCCGTTTACAGCCGGAATTGAATTTCAGTAGCGCCCCTTTGGCCCTCCTCCCACCCGGCAGTGTCAGTTTTTCCGCTGTGCGTGCTGTCATTTCCACTCAAGCATTTTCTATTTTTTTTTTTATTTTATTTAATTTTTTCTTTTTCACCTTTGATCGCACACTGATAACCGATAAGTAAATTGAACGGCTGGTTAAACTCTTCTCGTAGGAACGCCACGACGATCTGCAGGTCATTGCTGGCGCCGTTGGCAAGAATAGCCAAAAGCCAAAGGTTACGCCTGTCATGATGAACGAAATCGAAAAGGTTAAAAGCGCACTTGGCGTCCGACTAAATTATTTTACTAACACAGCTTACACTACTTTTCCATTCATTTCTGCTTTATTTTTCTCTCTTTTCTTTTGCTACAGACTAAAAACAATTTGATTGCTCATGCCGATAGCATAGAGCTCTCGCTGACGGAATTGAAAAATGTCAACCAAATGGGCAATGGGAATGGCGCCACCAACAGTCGACAGGGTAAGTGATTTTTATTGCTTCTGATTAGGGCTTAAACAGGTATATTAGCTTGGGGCAGATGTGTGCAGAAAAGGGTGTAATATATGTGATCAATCACGATATATTTGTAGAGCTGCATCTGTTATATGTAGTTGAAAATTGGAAATCATATCAGTTTGAAGTTTATATGTACTAAAGACTTTATGAAGATGTAGAATTTGCTAAGATATATTCTAGTGAATTAAAGCTAATACTTCGAAAATGATGGGAAAAGAAGGCAGATAAATATTTTATAAAGTCTTTTGAGGTATTTTGCTAGCTCTTCGATATATTCTTAAAGCCTCGAATATGAAGGGATTAAATTTAATTCCATATTAAACACATCAATCGTATCACACCAAAAAAATAAAAAAAAGCCATATATAAAATATACGTATAAATTCAGCTACATGTTGAAAGTTTCCCTTTTGAGCTTAACTATAAAATATAAAATATGCAATTTCATAGAAATATTGAATTTCATATGAATAAATCATATTCATTAAACCAATTGGGGGGACAGAATCGAAGCACTTCAATTGGCAAATTCCAAAAGAAGCGAATAAGCACGAACGCATCATTTGCTTCATAATTGTTTTTACACATTTTCGCTTTGAAAGTTTTTGATTTCATATTCTCGGCTGCAGTCGGCCATATTTCGTTGCATTTTATGGCGTTTTTATGCGTTTGCCGGGCGTACTCTTGTGCCCGGCGGACTCTACTTCAAATATTTATGCACCACGCCGACATCGAGGCGAAGCAGGGAAAAGGGCAAAGTGCGAAGGGCATCCAAAACGAACTTTGGACATTTCATCTAGATGTGTGCAGATGCGCGCATCTGGACAAATGTTAACGCTCTAGATTCTCTACTACGCTTTGATAACAATCCTCTTTGTATATTTTGTGAAAAAAAAAAAATATTGTTTAGAGAATTGAATGAAATAATTCGTGTTATATTAGGGAGAATATTTCTCAGCCACATTTATTGAGCGCTTGCATCAAATAGTTGCATTCCATTCCTTAAATAACGAATGCGCCTTCAAATCGAACCATTTCAAATCTGAAGGCGCCTTCCCTAATTACTGAATGAAATGTTTCGGAAAGGTGGCGAATTTTCGGATCGTTTATAGCTCGGTGCCAATAATATTGACTTATTTGTGGCAACGGTCCTTGGGACGTTCGATTGAGAATTTTCTGTTGAGTTGATAGTGAACTCTGGAACCTCTCGATTGTCCTTTACGTCGGTCACAATATTACGAGGGGTCTTTGATAGTCCTGCATCTTGGATGTATTTCTCAATCTCATCATAGCACCTCTTGAAAATACGGTGCGTCGATTCGATAGCAGTCACCGAAACTACATTGGTCATTAGAATATCGCACATTTTCTTACCATTCTTGGCTATTGTGAATTCGGCCATATTAAATAATCGCCTGCGCTCTTTGAAGCTCGTTCCTTGATTATCCCTTGATCTGAGTACATCTAACCGGGGACAGATTATGACCACTTTTTTCCCAACTTTTCGCTGTTGCATGTAGGCCGGCAAGGAAAAGTTGGCGGCTTCAACTGGCTGCTCAGGTGCCTCGGTTGCTTCAGGTGTCTCCGAGAATAAGTTGCGGCCTTTCCGGCGATTAATGACGTGTTGGGAGTTCGCAGCTGAAATCTTCTTCGAACTTGCTTTGCCTCTTAATTTGCTTAGCTTGCTTATCACAATTTGAGAATCTTCTGGGTTTTGTAATAGCCATTCGCTCTCTTCTTGGGCATCCGTTAGACGCCTCCGGAGTGTCTTTAGACATATGGGTTCCTTCTGGCCTGGATGTGGTGTCACTGGCCTACAGTTGTGCAGTAAGCCGTAGTCACGATCAGTTGCTCTAACGGCACTTAAATCGGCGCTGAATGATAGACTTCGTATACGTTCGAATGACTGGAATGAGTTAGATTCCATAGTAAGAACCGTGGAACGAGAGGAGCCCATCCTGATAACTCTAGGTCGGCTAGACTTTGGCTTTGGACTGTACAGAGGCAACAAATAACTAATAAACAAATATATTTTTAATTATTTTTTATTTGTTATTTAGTTTTTTTTTTTGTTTTGTTTTTTGTTTTAGTTTTATGTTGTTGTGTGTTAGAACTTTTTCCAAATCTGAACTGCTTGCCCGGCCTACTTAGCGCAACAGAGTCTTTGAGCAGCTCGCAAAAGCTGATTGCTACGATATCCGATGAAGCACTGTGCGTCAAATGAGGCATTTCATTTCGACCACATTTATGGATGATCGCTCACATTGACAGGATGCCATTGCATTCGTTAAATAATGAAAGTGCCTCCATCTTCATTTTTCTATATGGAATTTGGGGGCACTTTCACTCTTCAATGAATGCAATCGTTGTTTGGTGTTCACGATTGTTTTGTGAAGTCGACGCATGATGATTAAACGTTTCATGGCTCGTGTCTGAAGAATATTCTGAACGTCCCAAATTGGTATTTTTCGACAGGCTTATGAGCTCATTGCGGGTTGTTTTCATAAAACCTTTAGCTTGAATATAGTCTTCAATTATACTTTGGTATGTTTCATCAGCTTGATACTTGGGCGCCAGCTCTATATCTTGTTGTCCCATTTGGATGTCCGACATTTTCTTACCGTTTCTAGCGATTGTGAATTCGGCCATGTGAAAGTCGCGCCGGCGTTTTTTGAAGCTTTCTTTTGAATCTGCCGATCTTGTTAACCTCGCTATGGATAGTTCGGGACAAATTAAGATAACTTTTTTTTTTTTAGAATGCTGTTTCACATGCTGATCGCTTGAAGAAGCATTAGTTAAATGTTTTACTAATTTTCCGGGATTCAGAACAATTTGCTTTTTTGGGTGTGGTGTGCCGAACGACATATAATCTGAAATTGAGTTTTCGCTGGATGAATCCTCCAGAAAACTCGTACTTCTAACCACGCGCTCCTCCAAACTCTGACGGTCACTGAAGCGTTTCATGGGAAGTGTGCCGTTCACGATATTATATTGCTTAGGATCTGGTGTTCCACTGTCGTGAAAAGGCGTTGCTTTGCTTGCTGTCTGATCTACGGCAATTTCAGACGGTGGATCAATGCCTATAGTCGCGAACATGCTATTTCTTTCCTCAATAAGACGCTCTGAAAGTGTACTTAGATCTTTAGTCCCGCTTACTCGAGGAAATGGTGTGGATGCTTGCACGGGATCTACTCGCATTAGCCCATAGTTACGAGTGGCCGGAGGTGAAAATGGAGCTGCATCAAACCGAAATCGTTTCCTGTCCTTTTTTATTACTTTTTCAAATTTGGCGTCTATTGCAGTAGAATCCGTTGATACTCTCTCAACAAGCATTACTTCATTTTTCTCCATATTTTTTATTTTTTATTTTTTTTTTGTTTTTTGTTTTGTTTTGTTTTATTTTTTTTAATTTAACAAACTCAAGTTGTGTGTTAGAACTGTTTTGAAAACTAAACTGTTAGCTAGGCCTACTAGATTCCCTTATTTTTCTCGTTTTAGAAAGCTGACAAGAATTTAGAACTACGATATTATCTCCGATATATGAATTAATTATAAAAGAAAATAAAAACAAGTGCAAATTCAACTTTAGATACACTCCAAAAATATACATTTCTGTAAAATTTATTGAAACGACGTGCTTATAAACATTTAGACATATAATGTCTCGTTAATATGAATGGGGAATCATAATTTTCTTTCCTGTTAGCTTAACAGCTTCAAACAGTTTACATGTCTGCATGAATGTCATATATGTATATTTCTTATTCATTATGTATTGCATGATTAGAATGCGATGGAGATTTCGGAAACTTGGTTAGCTCGAAACTGGCGCCAGCTGAATCATAGGCGGGTTTCATTAGGCCCTTCTTAATGAATCTTTTCATTTCTGTAGCTATTTTATCTTCGTGGGTTTCAGTCACTCATAAATACCTCGCTCATCTTTCTGCCGAATCTGGCTGTTGTGAATTCGGCTGTATAAAATAGCCGACGTTGATCCTCAAAACTTAAATGCTTACTTGGTGGTATTCCTCTCTGTTTTTCCCGGCAGGTACGATAACGCAGACCATTTTCGTTTTTGGCCCGATCGTTTTATTCGTTGATTTCGGGCCAGCTGTGGGATGTTTAATGTGCCGTTCTTTTAAAATCGACTTCAATGACTCTTTCGGCAGGAGAATTTGGCTTTGTATTTGCTTTAGAGATGTCCGTCTCACTACCTGTATATCCCGCTAAGGATGTGTATGGAGTGGAGACTATTGGGTATCCGTTGCATTCCATAACTGCTGAAGGACCGTTCCCGCTGCACAGATATTTTAAATTTCAGTTTGTCTCGTAGGTCATTTGATTGGCTTCCAGATTTCAATGAAAATTTTTTTATTGTGTGGGTCATCTAATTTATCTGAGCTTTCTAAATGTATATTTAAGTGTTTTCTGTATATTGTTTTATTTTTGTATTGTTGTTCTGTGTTGTATGTTCCTACTGTGTTTGTAGAGTGTTTTCTATAGGGTTTTTGCATCCAAAATTAGTTTTGCTCGAAACGTGACACTGCTTTCAATGCCTACGCAGCATTGCTTGAACTTTGAGCATTCACTACAAAAGCTAATTGCTACAGAACTCCCTCCGCTTGTGCTCCTGCAGCGAAGAAGCCAAAGAGTGGAATTGAAACCAAAACCAAAAAGAATTCGATATTAAGAAGAGATCAAACCAATCACTGTTAGACTTTAAAAAAGGTTTTAGATCATTTTGGATAGATCAGCAAGAATGATATGGTGTCACCAGAACTTCCGTGTTAAATGTTAAATCCTCAGTATCTGTCAAGCAATTGCTAAAAGTAAACGTTCTCATATTTGGTTTTTCGATTGCGTTTTATTTCACGATTTATGATGAGTAATCATACTTCGACTTACGCCATTGTTTATAAGTGTAGTTTTTTTTTTTTAGTATTTGTTTACTTGTGGTGAAATTGCATTGGAAAAATAGCGAGAATGTCTTCTAACCGGAGAGTCGCCTCTCAATTCGAAAATATGCTCGATATTTTTGAAATGAAATTTCCGCTTGGTCACTTAAAGTGTTTAGATGGAAGTGTAGTGAGTAATGTCGATCTCTTTTTGACCCATTCTGCTATATCCTGCTTCACACTGCTTAACATCTTTTTATTTACGTTTACGATTCTCATTTTCGATGCTGCCGGGCTGCCCGAGAAGCCAAGTTGCTGAATATACAACTCAATTTCCTCTGTCGCCTCCAAGTCCTTTAATATTAGATTAGTATCAATCGTAACGCTCTTTGTTTGCTTTGGCATTATATGGTCGCTCATTTTCTTGCCGTATCTGGCTATTGTGAATTCGGCCTTACAGAGCGATTGTCGGTGCTGGTTAAACTCAGATGTCTCATCTCTATTTCTGTGAATTATGCGTGGAGTCACTAAGGTTACCCTCTTCTTATTTGCCATATCTGTGACATTTTGCGGGTAGCGCCCTGCTAGTATAGATCGAAGACTTCGTAATATTGGCGTGTTTTCGCTATCGGTCGAACCACTGCTCCCAAAGCTAAGGTCATCGATTCGTTTTTTGAGTACTTTAGGATTCATGGCCACAGCCTTGTTGGGATGCGGTGTGCCAAGTGACAAATGACCAATAAAACTCCGTCTGTGCGAATCGTAGCTGAAATCCGAGGCTAAATTCTTCTCAATACTTGACTCCCTATTCATTTCCTTTCTTTGTTGCACCTGAAGACGAGCCGACAGCGCGCCCATATCAAGGCCTTCGTATTTTTTTGGATGTGGCGTCGAGGCGGTATTATTCACACGAAGTAGGCCATAGTCGCGGGTGGCCAACAGCACAGGTGCAATTGGCTGAAAATCAGTATTCTTTTTGGCACTTTTGACTCTGGTTTTGTTAGGATGTCTGAGTGTGCTAACTGTGGCTATATGACTCATTATACAGGCGATGTAGGAACCGAATGCAAATTGTCTGTCTGATCGCAAGATGCGTGTATTTTTTATATGTTTTTTTTTTTATTTTTCCCCTATTTTTTTTTTTGTAATGTTTGTCTCAATGTTTATTGTAAGTGTTCTTTGTTGTGTACTGATGTTTGTGGAACAATAAATTTCAAATCCTTAATTCTCGAAATCGACACTGCTTGCACTGCCTACGCAGCACAGCTTTTGTACCGTTTCAAAGGCTGCTAGCTGTGAATCTCGACATGAAGACTGCTGGCTGGCTGATTATAAAGCTCGGCTCCACAGTTAGCACCGACTAAAAGCATCGCGGAAGCTTTTTCGTGCTAGTCGAAGCTTCTGCGTTTGCCTTGATTGGCTGGCAAACAGCTGTTAAGGATTTGTCTAAAACATTTCAAAACAAAACGTTCAGCGGGAAGGAACTGAACCAATATAAGTACTATAAAGGCGTCTTAAAAAGTATTTGACCGTGAAAATCGAGTTAATATAAAATAAAGGTTGATATAATCGCAAGAGTTAACTTAATTTAAAATTATAATATATATAAAAAAAATATATAAAACATATATAAATATATATTAAATATGAAAAACAAACCGTATATTTAATCAAAATGAAATATGTGAAAAATTAATAGCAATTTATGAGATAAAATTCAAGCTATTAGATGATCATTATAATTTATTAATAAATTAATTATTTATAAAAAATATATATCTTGAAATAATTAAAATAAATATATTATTAAAAAAAAATTAGTTAAAAAAGAAAAAAAACATTGCAATAAAAAAAAAAAAAAAAAAAAAAAAAAAAAAAAAAATCGCTTAAATTCATTCATTTATTTTTATTAAACGGGGAACCAATAACTACCGCGATATTTATTATGCTGTTGCTTCTGTTTGAATGCTGTTTACCACAGCTGAAACAAAAATTAAAAGTTTTCGTACTATTTAATGTTTACATAATAATAAATTGTTAAAAAAATAATATGTGTGCCCCCATTAAAACTTATGTGCTCGCCCTCTCAGAGTATTTGAAAAGTACTGAGTGACGTTGAGCACCAGCAGCGCGACAAGTGGAAATATACAATTTCACCGGTTTTTAATGAATTATGACATTTTGCAGGCGGGGCAACGTTGACGTTAGCTTTATCAGGTTGCTGCCTTTGCCTTTGCCTTTACCTTTGCCAATTACAACGTGCTTCACATAAATACATAAGTATATACATATGTGAGCACAAATATATAACTGTATATACATACGTTCCTTCCAAAGATGCGTTCACCATTTTACACCTGCCAGGGGCTGATTGTTGTCGCATGAAAGACAAGAAGCGGACGGCCACAATACGAGCGTCAAAATGGGTGAAAAGAAATTTTGCACTTAACGCGTTTTTTTTATATTTTCTTTGCCTCTTTGGCTACAAAAACTGAAGTGTCTAAGGCTTGTCATATGGGTACTTTTTTTTTTTTTTTTTTTTTTTTTCTTTTTCTGCTTTTCCGCATATTTGTTTAACAGGCTGGCGGCTTGTGTGCTGTGACTCTCATGAATTTCATTTTAAATGCTTTCTCACACACGTGGCATTCAGTCATTCATTCATTCAGGCATTCAACATAGACAGGACTAGCAAAGTCCTGGCTCAAGGCCTGCTTTTTTTTCTTCTTCTCCCTGGTTGAGTTGTTCGCTTCCAAATCCCTTGTTGCAAATAGGTGCTCTAATCCTGCGTGCTTTCTGGACACACACATACACACATATAAGCACTCACAGCTAGCCAAAGACACACACATACGTATTGGGTTTGTTTTCACGGCTTATGTGCAACTCAAGCCTGGAAAACTTTCATAAATATGTATCTGTGTTACCTCCTCCTCCTTCGGCTTACCGAACTTACTACAGCCCGAGGCTTTTCTTTCAATTCCTCGCGCTAAGTATTTCAAATGCTTTCCTTGCCTTTAAATATTTGCAACCGCTTCCTGTCGCCAATTTAATTTTACCATTGAGGACGTCAAGAATGAGAAAAACGACATAAAACAATATTTTTCAGTGCACTGCATTCCTTAATGTCGACTGCGACGCATGTCCCTGGCATCCGCTCTGCAAACAGGCGCTACATAGACGAAATTGTTGCACAATGGAGCTATGGCTTTAAGTGTTTACAATCGTATTGAAATACACTCCTGAATCTGAACAATTGTGCTGCTCATTTCTGAGTTTTCTTAGCTTAAGCCGAGAACTTAAAAAGTTTCTGAATAATACAGTGGTTATTTAAATATAAATGTAGTATAATATTATTTATTACCTTATGATTTTTTTATACTCTTTAATTGAAGAATATATTATACTGAAATCAGTGATATTAAATATACAAAAAAATATAAATATATCTATATCATATAATATATAATATATGATATAATTAAGATATAAATGTATGAGATATTTATGAAAGTCTTTACATGGTGTATTTACCATCATATATATAGATGAATGCTGGCATATGTTGGTATATAATGATAATATTATTTGATGATATATGATGGTCTATACTGAAACACATCATGGAAATCAGTTTGGCGGGGCTTTGGTAAAAACTCCGATAAAAGATTTTTTTAAAATGCTTAAATGCTGTTTTGCACATTTATATTTAATAAAATATAGTGCATAATATTTGAATGCTATCACACACAAGTCGATCAATACAATATTCGTTTTTTGTGGCATATTCTTTGAAAACGCACCACTGTGCGGTCCTGCGAGTCAGCTACTTGAAAGTTAGCTTCGTTGAAATAGTTTTTCATTCACTCGGCGCTTTTTTTTGTGTGCCTATGGACAGGCGCTCTGAAAAGACCAACCGAGTGGGCGGGGCAGTGTCGGCAAATATGGTCCAGTGGAGCAGGCAGCATTGGCAGCTTAGGCCCTATGCGAATGTTGGCCACGCTGACCGCAATTGGCCGGGTGCAGGCCGCAGCCGCAGCTGCTGCTAATGAGAGGAAAGCGCTGCTTGTGACCGTGCAGAAAACATCTAATTATCGTTCACTCTTTAATGAAAATTTGGCTTTCGCATTTTCAATTGCAGACTACAACAGCGAGCCCAGCGGAGTTGGCGCTTTGGCCAGCAGCTTCGACAAGTCCGTTTTGCACATTTCCGACTGGTTGACTTGGGAACAAAACATGATCAAGATACAGAGCGTGCTGGTGAACGACGGGGACGCCGTCCGCCAGGCCATCGAGAAGCAGGAGGTAAGTTCCACTGAAAGTAGGTGGCAAACTCCATTCAGACTCCCACTCACTCTGCCTGCGTTTCGCTTTGTAGAAAGTTTTGCGTGAATTGAAAATGAAAAAACCGCAACTCAATGAACTGGTCCACACAGCGGAGGTGCTGAAAGGCGACATCAAACGTCAGCAGCTGCAGGAGAAAGGTAAGCACTTGAATACGATTTAAATATATATATTTATGGGTTCTCAGGCAACATCATTGCCCAGTCACACTCCCTTAAGCTTAAGGACAAAATATTCTATTCACATGTATTTAAAAAATTTATTGATAGAAATTTGTGTTGTAAATTTGAAGACATGAAGTCCAAAGTGAAAAGTTCAAAAGAAGTTGAACGTTTTAATTATTCAGGCTTTAATGGAATCGAGCAAAAGCATAAATCCTCTTGGGCCCACCACATGCTAGCATTTTCCGATTCATCGAGCAAATCGAGCCCATTTTATGGTGCACGGATATTTCATTAGGCCTCTCAGCTGTTGTCAGCTAAATGCCTTTATGAATTGCATGCAGATTGTGCTACACCTAGGGATCTAACGAGATATGCACATTTTCCATTTCCCATAACGACTTTCGTGCAAACAAATTTCCGTTTTGTCAGACCGGCAAAAACACACACACACACTCACTCACTCTCGACCAGTGTAGGAGTTCAGTGCGAGCGAGATCCATTTTAAATTCCAACCAACTCAAGCTGGCCCCAGCGTATGGAGCGGACATTGTGCTCGGCTTCAGTTGCAAAAATGTAAACGCCGGCCATGAGCTCTTGGCGCTACGACGCTCTGCACGCTGCCTTTTTGTATGAACAACTTTAAACTGTATTAAACAGAGAGATACCTCATAGTGTACTGAGTTTAATCAGTTGGGATTGGGCATATAAATGAAATGTAAGCAATTTACCTTTGATTGCCAAGACTACGATTAAGACTATGATTCCTTATATGACAAAGGTACTTTAGTAAATACTATACTATAGTATAGTATATTATTCCTACATACTACATACTATTGTACTACTTATACTATATAATACTATATCATACTACTATATACGATGTACTGTAGTACACTATATACCATATTGGACTACTATATACTACACTACACTACTACTATAGTAACTTGACAACTATAGTATACCTATATATTTTACACTAAGAGGTAAGGACAAATGTTTAATGTAATATTTATGAATAGCTTTCAGGGATTTGCATTTCAAGATTGACCCTTTGGAAAAGAAGTTCCACAAACATATCTAAGTACTTAGTTTTCTTTTGTGGAGCATCAACTGCTTGAGTGCTGAGATAAGAACTTTTAAGCCTTGAATTTCAAATTGAAATTGTGTATAAATTTGCAAATATTACCATATTGCGAATAGAAATTTATAGAAGTGAAATATATGAATTTCGAAAAAAAACATTCTATAAAAATTAAAGCCTTCAGGTCTTTTGGTACGAAATGCAATGTTACTAAGCAGTTGATGTCTGAATCTTCTAGACTTTTCGTTTGCTTTTATAAATATATATTTAATATCAGTTATATATACAAAGCTCATATAAAATATAAACTTCTTATTAGATAATATGAAAACTCTCAGGTCTTAGGTAGAGAATGCATTTAAGAGTATTTGCACTGTATATAAATAAATTTGACTTGCATATTAAATAATTTATACCCACATAGATAAACATATATGATGTAAACATGTTAGTTGACAAATTTCGGTTTTTATTTAAGAATCAATATATATATATATATATATATATATATATATATATATATATAAATTATCTCTCTAATATAAAATTTGATTATTGTTAACTATTATTTGGGCATATTTCCCAAAGTTAGAGGTTTAAAGTGAGTTCCGTGAATGCTTGCTTAATAAGACCTCTTTCCGGTTGTTAAGAGGTATCGAAAGGCGACGAAGCCAACGCTGTCGAATGGCATTGAAAGACAATGACAAAGTTCACAGCAAATACAAATGCAAAGAAATGTAAACACACACACATATACATACATACATACAGTGAGAGCATAAAATGGCCTGCAACATAAATCGGAATTGGTAAGTCATTTAAGCCGGCAGAGGTGAATATGCTTTACAGTTGCAGAGTCACTGGGAAAGAGCGAAATGTTGCCTCAAGAGAGTTCAAAATTCACTGCATGCCAAGAGGCGCATGCTCACTTCTATGTATGCGTGCCTATGTGTGTGTGTGTGTGTGTGTGCTTAGTGATATTTCTGCTTTTTTTTTTCTTGTGATTCGTTCATTTGACTCTCAGTGGAATTTTAATGTGGCAGCAGGCAGCTAAAATTTCTGCCAGTTGACATTTAATTGACATGCGGTGCGGCAGCAGGGCGGATGGTTAACATTTTTATGTCCCTCTTGGTTGTTGTTGCTACTGCTAGTACTCCTCCTGCTGCTAGTACTCCTCCTCCTCCTGCTGCTGCTGCTGCTCTTACACAGTTTTGTATTTTATGTCATTGTTTGCCAACTCTGGGGGAATCGGCCTGCAGTCGGCTGCATTGCTTGTGTGCTCTTACATATTATTATGATGTTTGGTTTGTCATAAACATTTGTAGCTTGTCCTGCACGTACACAAGTGGAATCCCTGTTGCTGTTGCCCCTGTCCGCAGACGTCACTTGGGTCGCAACCTGCTTCTGCCACATGTCACCGATACTGCTAGTTTTCTTTTTTTTTTTTTTCTGATATCTCGAGCATATTACGGAGCTTACATGACCAATAGTGGGGGAAAGATTCATTATTTCCGTTTCTTTTATTTTCCTTTTTTTAGTTTCACTTTACTTATATATATAGAATATAGAAGTATACGTATTTTAAGCCTACTATTTCACATTTTTATTCGCATTATTTTTATATTTTAAATTGTTTTTATCAGCATAGTTAGTTTAGAGTAAATCTTTTCTTTCAGAGGCAAATTTTTGCTGAGTTATTTGGCCTTAAAAAGCCTTCTAAATTCTGCTCATGATCTCGTCAGAGGGTGACGAAATGCAATCACAAATTTGCTTGATTAATTAAGTTTTAAGCAACCTCTCTGAATCAATTGCTAAATTTCAACCACAATTGCACAAATGGGGATTGCGGTACAATTAAGTTGTTCACCTGCCGAAATAATTGGCTTTGGACGCAAAGGACATAGGTGGGTTCGCACACACATTGTGGGCAGCCGGCTGAGGTTGGGCCAACTGATGGGATAGGCTGGCTGGCAGGCTGGTTGGTAGGCTGGTTGGCTGGCTGGGTCTGTCGCTTATCTGGGACCAAGCGAACTGTACACAAAATCAATTAATTACGCATTTTGTAAGCTGACGCTCAATTAAACCATTATTTATTATCTCGTATGGCTGGATGGCGTGCCAAGGGGTGCGGCTAGGCAAAAAGTTGTGCCAACCCGATCGACCCAGCTTTGTTATCATTTATAGTGTGCCTACAGTGTGCAGAGGGTGTGGAGGGTGCTCCGAGGCATGGGCACAGCCGGGCAATGTGTGTGCCTTGGTCGTAAATCTGTCTTTGACATGCAATTTCAGTGCAGCGGCTGTTGCTGTTGCTGTTGCACTTGCTGCTCCTTCAGCCAGCCAGCAGAAGCAACAACTACGCCGAAAACAACAACAACAACAACAACAATATATCAGCAATAACAATGCACAATTCTGCCAAAGGACAACGCACTCGCCCACTCCTGCGGATAATTGTGCCCAGTGTGTGGTGCCCAGCCCTGGGCTGAAGCCAGCTACCAAATTGCCTCTAATTGTCGTCTTTCTCTCAGCAATCTGCAACCTGCACCCGTCCTGGCCCAGCACCACGCCCACTTCACGCCATTATATGCTTTAATAGGCCTACTCCGACCACCGCTGCCCTCTGTAGACCCCAGGAGACTCCCTGGCCTGGCAGGCGCTTCCTGCCTTGTGTCTGCGCTTTCAAGAAGTTGTTGGCTTTTGATGCCCTTGCCGGGGGGTTGGGCATTATGACTATCTGATGAGCCGTAAAATAATTTAGTTAGTGTTTATCATATTTCGCAACGGAGCGATACGTGGGCCGTTTTTATGAATTTCAAATTGTTTTTGCATCAAACAGCAAAGATTAAATACGAGTTTGCATTAGAATGGTAGAAAATCTAAATTCTTTGCTGGGAAAAAAAAAAATTTTATGCCGAAATTTTATTTAAATAAATAAAAAAAAAAAAAAGAATAAAATAAAATAAATTTAAAAAAATGCATAAATAAAAAAATATTTAGAGAATAAAAACAAATTTCGGCCAATAATCGAACCATATCAATGACTTTTAAAAATACAAATATAAAAAAAAAAAAAATAAATAAAAATTTAAAAAATTTCGCAAAAAATAATCCAAAAATAAAATAACATAAAAAATATAAAGAATAAAAAAAAAAAATGTCGGCAAATTATCAAAAAATATAATTGAGCTTTAAAAAAAAAAAAAAAATTAAATTAAAATAAAATATATATATATATATATATATATATATATATAATAAAATAAAAAATAATCAAAACAAGTCAATGCGTTGTTAATAGATTTATATTTCATACTTAGCATTGTATAGTATTGATTAAACAGTTCAATCTATTTCATAGACTCAATTTTAAAGTGCATTTCGGATTCGTTGTTAGGGCTAAAAAGTTTTTTTGTTTTTAATTACTTAAAAGCGACGTCTTCATGACTGCTTAACCTTTGGCCGAGGGGCAATTGGGGGCTATGGCTTGGGCTTCTTCCTTGGCTCTAGCTCTGGCGTTGGCTCTGGCTCTGGCTTTGTGCAACTTGAGCACTTAACGCTTCTGCCGCAATTTTGAAAGCAACATTAAATTAAATAATTGTGCTAGCAGGCTGTAGACAGGCCAAGGCTTGGCTTTCAGTCGCCAACTTATGCGCCAGATCGTTTTTGCACAACATTTTTCCGCATGAGAGTTATGTGCAAAATGTTTGTGCATATTACAGGTACAGGTTACAGCGTATGCTTGCTTCTAACTTGGCCAACATGGCCAACAGGGCCAGCCTGAAGTCCTTGGCTGCCTTCAACTGGAGCCTTGTTAATCCGCTGGGTTTTTGTCTGGGATCTCCTCACTGATTACGCAAATTGTCCTGTTGTTAGCGCAGTACGTGACTGC